GGTTGAAGGATCAAATGACTCCAAGAGTAACTCTTGAATTTCAACGATTCAACCGTTAAAATTTAAAATTATTTGATACTTCGTTATATAAATTCAAAACAACGTATACAATATTTTTATGATTATCCTTTGATTTGAATTAACGAAACGAAGTATCAAATAGTTTTCAAAATTTTAAAAATTTTGTAGACTTGATCTATACATTAAAATTTTTTAATTTAATGGTTGAATAATTGAAATTTAACATATATCATGAGTTATATTGAGTGGAGTAACTTAAGAAAAAGTTGCTTCTAGAGTCATTTGATTTTTTTATATATATATATATATATATAGAGAGAGAGAGGGTTATAATAATACCATGTAACTTTTACTAAGTATTACACTGCTCAATAACTTAATATTAAATATAAATTTTATAAATTCTACCATTAGATTGAAAGTTCATATTATTTTATATGTTTATATCAAATTTTGTTAAAATTGAACAACAACTTAAAAGTAATCAAAGTGTTCATATTTTAGTATATTTTGAAATGTATATGTTACGTCAATTTTGTTTTATAAGAATGAAGTATCAAATCATCTTGGATTAATATAAAATTTTGTATATATAATCTAAGAGTAAAGAACTTTCAATCTAATAGTTGAATTTACAAAATTTACATTTACTATAAAATTATTGAGTGATGTAATACTTAGTAAAAGTTATACCGGCAAAAAAAAATAATACACAAACAGAAACCTATTAGGTTGGTATGTTTTCCCATATTCCTTCATCATGATCACTTCGAATAGCATGTATTTCGTCCACTTCATTGTCCACAATAGAACCAAATGATCTGCTTGACAAACACGGTGTCTCATGCATATCTAGAGACTCATCTTCGTGAGTTCCATGCATGGTTCTTCCTTCGAGGACCACTGACCATTTCTCATTACATGGATCCCTGACATAAAAAACTTGTCTTGCTTGATATGCCATAATAAAAGGTTCATCCTTATAGCCGACCTTATTCAAATCAACCAAAGTAAATCCTAAATCATCTGTCCGCACACCCGTATTGCCATCAACCCATTTACACTTGAACACAGGCACTCTAAACGTAACATAATCAATTTCCCATATGTCTTCTATGACTCCGAAATAACTCATGGATGCTGTAATGGGATTTTTATCTTTTGAACTAGCAAAGTGCACAGCCTCAGCCTGAATTGTAACCCCACTATTTTGTACTCTACTTTTGTCATCTTCTGTCTTTGTATAGAAACAATATTTGTTAATGTCATACCCACCAAATGTAATGACATCGTTGTTAGGCCCACGCGCGAGTCTCAAAAGTGTATCAGAAGCATTAACCTCACCATAAACCTTTTTCTTAAACCAAGCTAAGAAACTCTTGTTATGTTCATTCAATACCCATTTCTCATTCATCCGGGGGTGTGCTATCTTGATTTCATCTATGTGTTCAGATATGTAAGGAATTACTTCATCAGTGTTGTTCAATATGTACAAATGTGCTTGGTCAACTTCTGTTCGACTCACAGTTCTAATCTTTAAACTTCGACTACCCTTACCAAATTGTTTCCCATCATGTCGAGTCTTGGGAATTCCTATTGGTTCTGATTTCGACATGTACCCTGAACAAAACTCAATGGCTTCTTCTGCAATGTACCTCTCCACAATAGAGGCTTCTGGGCAGTATTGATTCTTGACATATCCTTTTAAGATCTTCATGTATCTCTCAACAGGGTACATCCATCTAAGATAAACCGGGCCACACAATCGAATCTCCCTAACCAAATGAACTATCAAATGCACCATGATATCAAAAAATGAAGGTGGAAAATACATTTCCAATTGACACAAGATTGTGATTGCTTCATTTTCTAACTCATCTAACTTTACAGGGTCAATTACTTTGTTGCAAATGGCATTGAAGAATAAACACAATCGAGTAATAGCAACTCTAACAGAAGATGGTAAAATGTTACGAATAGCCACAGGCAAAAGTTGTTGCATTAACACATGACAATCGTGAGACTTTAAACCAATCAACTTCAAATCTTGCATAGACACCAGACTCTTAACATTTGAGGAGTACCCTTGTGGAACTTTCACACTGCTTAAGCACTCACAAAAGTTTTTTTTTTCTTTTTTTGATAGAGTATGACAAGCTGGAGGCAAGTAAGTGCGTCTTCCAATAGACTGAGGATGTAACTCAGAACGTATACCCATGTCCACCAAATCTTGTCGTGCTTTCACTCCATCTTTAGTCTTTCCTTTGATGTTTAGCAATGTCCCAATTACACTATCAGAAACATTTTTCTTCACATGCATCACATCTACGCAGTGTCTAACATCTAGCTTGCACCAATAAGGAAGATTAAAGAATATTGATCGTTTCTTCCAGATATTTCTCTCAGTTGACTTCTTTTACGTCTTTCTAAACATAATGTTAATGTTCTTCACCCGCTGATATACTTCTTCACCATTGCGCGGTGTCGAGGCAATTTCATCCTCCTGACATCCATTGAATGCTTTCTTCAATCTACGGTATGGATGACTACGAACAAGAAACTTACGATGCCTAGTGTACGCAGTCTTTTGCTCATGTTTCAATTGGGTATAACTTGTGTTTTCTTCACATATAGGACATGCATAATGACCCTTCACACTATACTCACTCAAGTTATCATATGCTAGAAAATCATTTATTGTGCAAAATAACATTGCACACAAAGTAAATTTTTCTTCACGATATGCATCAAAGACCTCCACTCCTGTCTCCCACAACATTTTCAAGTCATCAATCAATGGACTAAGATACACATCTATGTCATTTCCTGGTTGTCGGGGTCCTGATATCATCATAGACAACATAATATATTTTCTCTTCATGCATAGCCAAGGAGGCAAATTGTAAATGACCAACAAAACTGGCCATGAACTGTGTTTACTACTTAAGTTCCCATAAGGATTCATGCCATCTGTAGCTAGACCAATTCTCAAGTTTCTTGACTCTGCACCAAATTCTGGAAATTTTTCATCAATCCTCTTCCATTACGGAGAATCAGCTGGATGTCGAAGAAAATTGTCACATTTTCTACCATTTTCATGCCATGTGAGGTTTTTTGCATCCTCTTTAATGGCAAACAATCTTTTAAACCTAGGTATTATTGGCAAATACCATAAGACCTTAGCAGGGGGACCCTCTATTTCTTCCTCACCACTTCCATCAATTTTCTTTTTGAACCGCAACAATCCACATGTCGAACACACTTTCAGTGTAGCAAAATCATTTGTATACAATATGCAATCATTAGGGCACGCGTGTATCTTCTTATACCCAAACCCCATTGGACATAGTATCTTTGTTGCCTCATAGTTGCGATTAGGTAACGTGTTATCTTCTGGAAGCATCTCCTTCAACAACTCCAACAATTCTGTGAAACTTTTATCAGTCCAGCCATTTCTTACTTTTAAGCTAAACAATCTTAAAGTTGCTGATAGTCTTGTAAATATACTGCATCTTGGGTACAATGGTTACTCAAAATCAGACTTTAAGGTATCATACACATGTGCTCTTTCAAAATTTTCTTCACCAACATCATGTATCATCTCTTCTAAATTATCGTTCATCCCTTCAGAATTTTCAGTTGTTGACACCGTTGAAATGTCTAATATTTCTCCGTGCCATGTCCATATTGTATAACTCTTCACAATACCAAATATAAATAGGTGATCATGTATTTTCCCAACTTCCTGACGTATCTGATTCAAACAACGAACACATGGACAATAATAAGCCCCTTTGATGGGTTTCCCATTTTCTCTTGCAAATTGCAAGAACTCTTCAACTCCATTTATGTACTCTTGACTAATGCGACTTGCATTCATCCAACTTCGATTCATTATCTATATATTAACATAAATTAACTATTGACTCAGTTATTCATAATTTTTCTAACCTAAACTACAACCCTAAAAAATCAATAGTAATTTCGGATAAAATCGATAAATATTTCTACTAATACGATGGTAAACTAAAGGTCAATGCCTAAAAAGTCCTTCTTTAATGCATCTGGAATGGCCCGTTCTGAAACTAGAACAGGTCATTCTAGATACACAATTAACACAAATTTAATGCGTCTGGAATGACCCATTCTAAAATCAGAACGGCTCGTTCCAGCTGCAATACTTTTGTGTTAATTGTTTATCTGGAATGGCCCGTTCTGGTTTCGGAATGGCCCGTTCCAGATCAACAATTAACAAACAACAAATTCAAGAAGAACGGCCCGTTCTGAACGGGCCGTTCCAGATGAACATCTAACAGAAAATAAAGAAAATAATGCGTAGAAGAAACTAACCTCAAACGTGGAATGTGCAAACTCTTAGAGACTTAGAGAAACGTGGAATGTGCAAACAAACGAACAAGAAGAATTTAGAGAGTTTTTGTAAACAAGGCGCTCGCGGAAAGAGAGTGAAACGTTGGGGGCATATATTCACTAATTTACGTCGGACTCCCCCTATCTGACATAAATTAGTAACTTTTTATTTACGAAAATACCACCGCGTATTTATAACATCGTATTTTCATTTTTCTGACGTAAATTAAGTAACGTAGTAACCTATTTTTGCACTAGTGGACTCACAATTCTGAAACATTATCATAGTAGAAAGAGGCAATCTCAATGTTTTTTTTTTTTTTTAATTGCTCTCGTTGGTTTCGTAAAGATTATTTTAAAGATTATACACGAAGGCTACGTGGCTTTTATTTCTTGTTGAGATTTAATTTGGGGGATTTCAAGTGTTAAGGAGAAATTCAAACACTCCTAATTAGGTATGGTATCCCTTAAATCCCAATAACACCAAGTGAGGTATCTTTGATTATGTAAATTGATTATATAATGAAAAAATTTAATTAGGTTGATTGAAAATTAGATATAATTATCATGGTAAAAAAAATCCAATATAAATTGATTATGCAATTTTTTTAAAACCTTAAACTCGTTAAAATTAAATTTTGTTAATGATTATTAATTCAATTGAATTTTTTCTTGAATGTATTAATTTGTTCAAGATTCATTATTTCACATTGATAATGTATTGAAGTATTCATTGAATTCCTTTCATATCATCATGAGAGACACATTAAATTGAGTTACCATTTATTGGGATTGAACTAGACTGGTACTATTGTATTAGAGGTTAAGTACATATTATAAGATTACTAATATAAGAAAGAATTTTTTTAATCTAATGGATTCACATAATAGTTAAACACATTTTCTTTACACTTCGTGAAAAAAATCTATTATACTGAAAAATTTTGTATTTGATTTTCGTTATATATAAAAACTCTTTAGATCAATAACAATCATGATATCATAAGTAGGATTCTTTGACTCAATAACATAATTTAAAAAACAAAATGATATTGATACAATTGTGTATAAAAATGAAAAATAGAACACCGATATATAGAGCTTATAATTACGAGTCAGAATCTAAAAAGGATAGCTTCTATGGTATAGATGTTCCTTATGTTTAGGAAAAGCATTGTAAAACAATAGGGTGGCTATGTAAAATAGGAGTTGTTCCTGTCGCATACTAGGTTGAAGAATAAACTTTTATTTTTCGTATTTGAGAAAGAATCCGAATCACCTTTTCAAGATTTTGAGTATTTAGATGACTATTAAGGCATATAGCATTTTGGATTTATTAAGTTTATTCTAATTCCCTTTGTCTTCTCCAAAGTAATATTGCAAAAGTAAATATGCAGTACTATAATTATATGGAGACAATGAGAAATGGTTGCCACGTATTTTGGTATATTATCAAGATCTTATATATACTTTGACACTTAATGGATAAGAATTTTACCCCGTACACGTATTTACACAACTACAACTTGCATAATATTATTAGTTTTTCTCTCCACACACTATGGATTCAAGGATGAAATAGATCCAATTTGTCAAAAGTTTGTCATCTTACAATATAATCTTAGTTATTTGGTTTACCATTTTATAATTAACTTAAACATGTTTAAGATTCTTGTAAATATAATAATTTAAAAAAAACACTTTTGATCTTTGCAAGGTTTTTTCACAAACTTTTCGTTAATTACTATACGATTTATATCCATGTAAATATAGTTATTTTTAATTTCTTTTTTATGTGTGCATACAAATTATAGCCTCTTTTGTTTCTAATCTTTTCAATTGAGTAAAGAAGGTCCTGAAGCGTGCATTAATGTTATATTAGCTCCTAAAATTAATAAATTGTAAAATTAATCTTGAAATTACAAATTCACAATCATATTAGTCTAAAATTTTAAATATATATATATATATATATATATATATATATATAAACAAAGAATAGTTATAATAATACTGTTGTAACTTTTACTAAGTATTATACCGTTTAATAACTTTATATTATATGTAAATTTTGCAAAACCAACTATTAGATTGAAAGTTCTTTACTCGTAGATCATATATACAAAATTTTATATTAATCCAAGATAATTTGATACTTCATTTTTATAAAATAAAACTGACGTAATATATTCATTTCAAAATATACTAAAATATGAACACTTTGATTACCTCTAAATTGTTGTTCAATTTTAACAAAATTTGATATAAACATATAAAGTGATATGAACTTTCAATTTAATAGTTGGATTTACAAAATTCACATTTAATATAAAGTTATTGAATGGTGTAATACTTAGTAAAAGTTACACTAGTGTTATTATAATCCTCCTCATCTATATATATATATATATAATAATAATAATAATAATGAGGGATCTGTTTACTCTAAGAGTAAGTTTACTTAGACTTATTCCGTTCAATAACTCATGCTCTATATCAAATATCAACAATCCAACCTTTGAATTTAAAGTTCTTAATGCATAGATTAAATTTGCAAATTTTTAAAAAAATTTAAAAATCATTTGATACTTCATTTCATTAAATTCAAATCAATGTATAAAATAATTTTATGATTATCCGTCAATTTGAATTAATGAAATAAAGTATCAAATGATTTTCAGATTTTTTAAAAATTTGTAGACTTGATTTATGTATTAAGAACTTTAAATTCAACGGTTGGATAGTTAAAATTTGATGTAAAACATGAGTTATTGAACAAAGTAAATTTATGTAGACTTATTCCTAGAATAAACTGATCACTTCTCATATGTAATTAAAGGAATTATATTAATATAATTAAATACTAAAATGATAGTAAATAATCATATTTAAAGACTCATTTAACATTTCAAATACTAATTTTACAATTTTTTTAGTTTTAGACTAAGATAA